ACGTAAACACATAACATCAACAATTACATAAAATCACGTAAACAAATATGCAATGATTGTATAATTCCTCTTTGTACATATATTCGCAAATTAAATAATACTTTCTTCACTTTATATTTTCTAAATAATGATTGTATCGATACTGACCAAGTAATTGTTGCACAATTTGTGAATAAATTCGTTTATAAAAATTTTAAAGTTACAAACTCGATTCCAACCATTCAAATTATTTTATACCGTCACATTTTTGCTAAATACCGACACATAGGCTAACTTTCCAGAAATCAGATAATTCGTTTTGTCAACAATCGATTATTTTAACGTAGTCAAAACGCTTCGGCAGCACAATTTCGCATATAATAAAAAACTAACGCGCATTGACGATCTGATTGTTCTCTCGGCACTGATATTTGTCATTTCAACGACTTACGTGTATCACGTGAAATTAATCTTAACAGGAATTTGTATAATCTTATCTAATCTGACGCGTGTCAGAATTACATTGACAAACGATTCGCTTTAGCCAACAAGCAAGTTCAATGTACACTCAAAGAAAACTTTTATCGGATTCATATATACAATATAAAAATTAAATGTACAAAAATAATATTAAAAAAATAATATACTTTAAAATTAAATCTACAAGAATAATAGTAATTTTTTACATAATTCTATTTTGCAATGTTAATAAATTCATTAATTAATAAAATTTAATAAATGTACTTTTAATATTTACAAAGTCAACATTATCAATTCTGTGAGCTTTAACATACGCGTTAGCTAATTTTTAAGTCAAAAAGCATTCTGAAAGTCCTCAACATCACTATAGTTCACTAATTTGCAAATTGCGAGAATAGTCCTGATCCGCTAAATTTCCAATCGTCTGTTCGAAATTCGCACGTTACGCAGAAACGAGCACGGCTTATCGGATTCGATTTCGATCGCGACTGATGCTTTCAATAGCGACGCATGCTGTGGATCCTGCGCGATCATTAATGCGCGCGAGAACCGACACCTAATGAAAGGGTCGCCTCTGAAATTCGCGCGTGGCCGTTCTCGTCAACGGTACCGGGTGCACTGGAGACCGACCTGAGCTTCGTGTTTACATCGGACTGAAACGTGCCGACGGCACCACGCCTTGTTGGGCTTCTGTCGTTTCAGGTAACACACAAACACCGATGTACGCGACACTCGCTCGCCGATACTTAAACGCGGTGAACTATCCCCTTCACGGGAGCGGGAAAGCCGCTCTTTCTCTTTCTCTCTCTCTCCCTCTCACTGTGACCAGTCGACCGACAGATGATCGGATTGTGCGCCGGCAGCCAGCGCCGTCGTGCCTCAATACTCCCCGAACGAATGTCGTCCGATCATCGCGATCGTCCTAAGAATAGTTCGCGATCGTCTACAGCCGCATGACGCAAATAGCACGGTCCGTGTGATGGTATCCGGCCACCCGAGTGGAGCCAAGTGGGAAGGTCATGGGACATCTAGCCGATGGTCATACCACTCACCACCGGATAAGAGTTAAAAATATTTATCGCCAAGATCGATGCTCGCCGAGGAATTCTGGAGTATCGAATTTTTCGACTAAAATTAACTTTCCCGTTAATAATTCGCATGCTTCAATGCTGGCTTATTAGATCGCAAATTCGATTCTTGCGACTTCGATGAAATCATCCATTGCAAAATCAACGTCTTTATTGTCGAGTACACATCGATTCTTTTAGCGACTCGCTATTGACGAAAGACCATCGTCAATCGAGCGATTTACCTCGTCGGCAAATCCCCTTCGTCAATACAAAAGGGGTAGGGTATTACCGGTTGAACCACTCGGGAACCTGACCGGATCCCCAAAGTGCTTCTCCGGTAGAAGGGAAACGCGCTACGTGATCGAACTACGACAAGTCTCGAAAACCAAAGAAGGTCATAGAATCTAGACTGAGAAACAGGAAGATTGAGAGAGGAGATGCGATTCCTGCTGTCTGACAAAGGAATTATCGAACAGTAGTGATATCTCGAGTGCTCGCGAGATGTAAAGGATCAATGATCATCCTTCTCGGCGGAATCAATGATCCGTGCTTTTCACATCGAGGCTTATCGCGTAGATCTGTCATTCGATAATTTATCTGTGCAATTTCACAAAATTATCTTACAAAATTGATGCAGAGATTTATTCGAGAAAGAAACATAAAACTTGTCGATGGAAAGCTTGAAATCTGTTTATAAATAACAAGCGTTTCGTTAAAAACTGTTAAAACTGTTTAAAATTTACTGCTTGTATAAAACGAAAGAAACTAATTGTAGATTTAAAATTAATTAACAAATGCTGTCAACGCAATTCAATTTTAATATTAAATGTGACAAAAGTGTGCCGTTATATGTTGGCAATGATAGCACGCGAAACAGGAAAAAGATGAGCAGCCATCGTAGCTCAATAAAATAACACAAGTGGCGAAAACAATGAAATGCAATGTAGCCTGCAACCGGAAACGTGTCAAGAGATCTTAACTATTCAATGAACGTTAGTTCATTCACGGTACGTGACGATGCATTATCCGACTCCAAGCACTTTGCTCGAACAAACGTTTATCAATGCAGCGGAGCTCTCGATAACGCCATTTTGCATCGTACGTTTGCAGTGCGGCGATTGGAAAAAAAGCTCGTAAAAGTATTCCTTAACATTCTTTGTGGGAAACAAAGACACACGGCCGTACGGTTTACTTCAAAGCGCTGGTTAACGGTAACCTAATAACGATAATCGATCGACGAAGCGTCAAGCGCCTTGGTCACCGTCGAGAAGCTCGTGACGTGAATCTTTTTTTTTTTACGGACACTTTGAGGAAAGAGAGATCCCCCTTTATATCTATGAGCTGGAAAAGATTTTCGAAGTGCCGAGATGCCAAGCGTCATTCTCCAAGTTCAGTGGCAAAGAAAACGGCCTTGAAGAAATTTTCAATCTACCACTGAAATAGATTAGCGGTTTTAAAAAATATATGAATATAAAGTGCGGATGTGTTAAAACGTGTCATTCAAGAATAGAGAAAGAAAAAGTTTATTTATCGAACATTGTCGCGCTAATTGTGCCATAATAAATGCAACAAATATTGAAAGAAGCTTTCCTCTTAAAGGCATAATGAAAAAGTTCGTGGGAAGCAATTACGTACTCCAATTACCAAAATGTAATTTGAAATTTTATATTCTTTTTTCAAGAAACTTTGCCATCAATATGAAAAAGTTTTCTTCTAATTTCGATAGAATTACCTAAAATCGCTTTTATCATCTCTTCAAAGTTTATCCTTAAGATTACGGTGCTTTCATGTCGCGATTAAGATCGTTAAAATAATGAAAGTTGTTCTACGCTTAAGTATCAAAACGAGTTTATCGCAGCGTTGCAATGCATAATGTATTATTTACGTATTTATAAATACACTCCGCCTACGCATAACTTATAATATATTGCAATTTTCTTCGGAAGACCCTAACATCATGTCGGAAAAATCTTTACGCGACGCGAAGAACACTCGTTTGCGAATATAAAGGAAAAATGATAAAAGTTTATATAAGATAAAACATTGATCGTCGCAACGCGAAATAACTGTGCGCACTAGACTAAAAAGCAGTGCTTTGTCGTTCACGAAATTTACGACTGTGTATCAGCGAAGTGACTGACACTAAAACTGTTTTCGGGACAGTAACAAAGTGCTGCATTAAAATAATTACTTGGGTCGTACATTACGTTAATGAAAATTAAATCACGCAGCCTCTTGTGTTTAGACTGTACACATACTTCTATATCGTAATTACTATATACAAGAAGTACGCGTTTAATTTCTCGTTAACCTACTGAGTCTTTGCCAAACAAAAAAATATCACTTTTTAAGTTGAAAAAAAAAACACGTGACCTAAAAATCAAAATAAAAAGAAGAAAAGTTTCATAATGCGAAAAAATATTTTTTCTCACAATGTTTGCTTACAACCAGCTCGGAGACCATAATCGGCGTTTAGTGAACGTAGTAACCGGTATTATTACTCATACTGAAAGCGTGATTAAACCTCAGATTAATGACGAACCTTTGCCCTTTTCAATGGAGCAAGAACTATCTCTCTTTTATCGCTTCCCTTGGAAATGCCCATCGTACATCCTCCATTTTAGCCTGCGAAGTATAAACGACGGGCTTCAGAAGCGAGAGTAAGGCTGCTTTACGGCTCGGTAACGAGCGTAAGTTAGAGCGATCTCGTAATGGGCCGCGGACACAACGGTGTGTGTACGCGGCCAGTAAAGTTTCATGTCAACTAAACGCACAAAGAGCGACGCTGTGCTTGCGGGCGGAAACTCGGAGAAACGCTCGTTCATGAATGGTGCTTGGGTGCTCCCGTTAAGTCTGGCAAATCCGATCGAGCAATTGTTGTAAGAGTCCTAGGGTTCCGCTTCGCATCCGGCGGAGTACTTTAAACTCTACAGCCAACGCTATTTCAGGAGACGCGAGAGCGATCGATAAGAAACTTCGCATCCGATCGTGCGAATACACAACGAGAAACGTCGACACAGACAGCAAAATATTCTGTTCGCCCGACTTGTACGCTCTCGAGTCCCCAGGGAAATTATGTAAGCGTCGATAAAAAAGCATTCATAATTTGCATGAGTTTCAATTGCGCGTTTCAATAGTTGATCCGATAGGAAAGTGTCGCTTTCAAGTAACATTTGTATTCCATTGTAAATAAATGACAGCCGTGATAAAAAAAAAGTTACATTTCGATTTCTTATTGTACTGCATATTTCGATATACGTGGAAAAAAACCCGGATAGAAATGAAGTCATCATTAAAAATTTGCCAACAAATATGTTGTGCGAAATTCCTCTCAAAGTAATATGTTTAGTTTTGTGCGTGGCAAACAGCGACAAATCCCTGAATTACCGCGCTTCCGTTTGCCGACTTCGTTAGCGAGATTAGTCATTCGAGTCACGTCTTTGAATTAACATCTCGTTAATTAATAAGAAGAACCGAGGCAGATCGTAAAGCAAGTGTATATATAAGAGTGTAAAATGTCGCGTTGCAATTCAGATAAACTTCAACGCCGATTAAGCACGATTTATGTCCGGCGAGTCACCAGCACAATGAAATCCGTGATGTACCTCGCAATTGTTTTCACGGTGCTTAACTTCGTTAACGCCCGACCATTTCCTCAATTTGATGGTGAGTTTGTTTGTTTATCATCTGATTAACAATTATTCGATTAATTATTCCAGCAACAATTTTAATCAAGCTAACCTCAATTTTCGAATAAAATATTTTAATGCTTAAAATTTGCAAATTGAAGATTACGACATATAATAAAAAATTTATAAAAATGTTTTAAATGTTTTTTTGAGAAAAATTTGTAATTATGAGAATTAATACGATTATTATAAAAAATATACACTCTTACAATTTTTTTTTTAAATCTATATGTAACTCAAAAAATTTTTAATTTTATTTTTCAAAATTTCTCTACATTTTATAAATAGATTTCAACTGAGAAAATTTAGACACTGATATAATTTAAACATAACTGTGTTAATGTGAGAGCTATAAATAAAGTTCTCTTCTGTGTTGATATGACCTGAATGCATATATAACTGAAGATATTGCGCATAATTAATGTCATAATCCTTATTTTACAGGCGGTCGAGAGGGATTAGCCGCTAGAGACACGACATACTATGGATTTCCATTGTTCTGGTACAGAAGACCTTTCTACGACGACGGTGACGACGACATTGTTAACGGAGGTCAAGTTTTAGGAAAGAAAAGAAAACCATCTACTGTGTCCTACATTAAAGTCGGGTAAAAAAACAAAATATTATTAATTATGCAGAATTTTTTCACTAAACGCTCATACAAACATTATATTGTTTAAAAATAACCATCGTCATCACTAGAGTTGCTATTAAAAGAAAAATATTTTTGTTAAATATACACTGTATGTTAAATACACTACGTGTATAAATATTCAAAACAAAAAATATTGAATAAGATAAAAAAATCATTTTTATGAAATTTATAAGCTCTTGTATTTCATTTCAATCCACTTAATAACGATTACATAAAACCAAGCACGCGTGTCACTCAGTTAACAAGATATCAGCTAGTACATTTAAATAATAAGAGCGCAAAATTCTCGTTTAAATTAAACAAAACTGTAACAAAATGACTAATAAAAGGAAAATAATTTCTTTTAATAGTTCCGGCTGGGGTCGCTAAAAAAATTACCGAGAGGAAACTAAAACAATCAGACGACGATATCCAGAAAATTTCGCAAACTCAACTAACAGACTGCGTATCTATCTTATTATTGAATATTTATCAGCTAAAATTTTAGTATTACTATTTTTCTATTATTTTAAATATATAAGTAATTGTATATACTTACATATTTATATCATTTATATAGAAGATGAAAATCACAAAGCATATTTGTGCACACATTCCTTCATTTTATAAATAAATTTTCGATATATATATATATATGTCACAATATAATATCATGTTTGATATAATCCTACGACGATACGTCGCAAGTGCCCAAAACCTTGAAGATTCGCACCATCTGTGTTGGTCTAAGAGGATTATCTCAATAAGCGGATAAACAACAATTAGTTAAATTAGTTCCTACGGAAAGCTGCAACTGTTACGAGGCATCGTCGCATGCTAAAATCACAACCAAATATTTGCCTACACGAAACCATTGCAGCAGCACATATAAGCGATTGTGTGAAACACTAAAACCCAGTGTCAGCTATGAACTGAAAGGTAACAGAGCGTTCACCAATGAAGCATCATAATATCTTCCAATTAATTCTCACTTTGATGACCGCAATTGAAGTGGCTTTAATGCCTATAAGAGATTTTGAATTGGGTAAGACATCGGTTTCGGATTAGATATTAGAAATGATATCTTAAAGAAAAATGACAATTTTATTACAAGTTTACTTAAAAACTTTGTTATAGTCTTCAAAATACTTTGAAATTCAGTGAAATATGTCCAAATAATGCTCAAACTTGTCTAAAGATATCAAGTTATATAATGCAATTTTAATTCAAACAATGGACATTCGAAAATATTTACAACTTCTCGTCTATTAAATTAAGCTTCCATCAGCAATTTTCAACAAACTTTTATGTAGTTTAAGTTTCAAAATTCTCGAGTTTTCAATTTCAAAGAGTTCTAACAATTAAATATAAAAAATATTTAGAATTTTCAAGAATTTGAAGAACTATTGTGTGAAAATTATTGAAAAAAAAGAAAATTATTCCTCCTCTTATGTAACATAAACATTTGCAAATGCTAATACAGGACACAGAACTATCTGGCAAAATGTCGGACTACACGGTTTCTACGGGCCGTGGAATATCGCGGCAAAACAAAATGGGGATTACGTCGATTATAATGATTACGGTGTCCGCGTCGAACAGTTCCGGCCTAATTCGCTAGAGCTGCCATACGACGATGTATCGATAGCTAACGGATATATCGACGAGTTACCCTCGGTTTACGATAGCCTGCCGGAATTTAACACGTTTCTCAGCTCCGTGGGCCTCGCCGATTTCCGGACTGGAGTTCGTACCGGTGATTGGATCGATCGAAATACTGATGGCACCACGGAACGGTATTCGAAGGATATTGGTTCTCAGAAAACCGATGAAGATACGAAGGAGCCTGAAGACTCTGTGATTCCAAATGCAGCGATACATTGAGAAATTTTGTAAAATAAAATGTTTAATAAACGCAACATAATATTCATCTTGTGTGTTCATTCAGGTTTAAAACGTAAAGTTCATGAAGAGTTGAAATAAATTATCCTTTCATAAATTTTCAACATCAATTTCAAATACAGAATTATACCTGTGAACTCAATTATATCTTGTGGCGGCTCACCGCCACACCGCTGCACTGACGCGGTATAATACACCGCGGCGCCGCTACGCGCCGCAGGCCTTCTACCAGTTACAAGCTTGTGGACCCACCGCCAGGTTGCGCAGGCGGTGAAGAACCTTCTCGCGATCAAGCTTCGATCGACGAGATATAAAAGAGCTGCTCCGCAGATCTTTCCTCACTCACTCGCTTCAAGGCGAGCTCTCCCCAGGGCCCTTGAACTGAGTCGTACTCTGCCTCGGCAGAAGATAACCAGAGACACATAGTCTCGCCGTTTTTCTCACACTGCCTCGCAAGGCGTGTAAAAAGAAAGCAGAGTCCCAGCATCGGCCACGCACTTCAACCAAGCGGCCCGCGGATACTCCACTTTCGCCGTCACCTCCTCAGTCTCTAGTGTGGAAATTAATCCCACTAGAGTTCTGCGTCCGGTTGACTCGACCACCAAGGGACACGCTCACTCAAGGCGACATCCGAATTCGGAGACCTCTCTCTCCTCGGTACACGGAGCAATCCGTAATTCCGAGAGCCGAGACGGTTGCCACCACCAGCACACCAGAGACTCGGTCCATCGCAGTACAGACTTCACCGCTCAGAGCCTGCTCAGAGAGCAGTTGTCAGACGGAAGACCACTTCCCGAACGGAGTTCCACCGACGCCGGGAAAGGGGCTGCAACGAGCTAACTCAGTTGAACCGTCCTTTTTAGGACCCGTTCAACACACTAAGACGCGGCCGGTAATTTCTTACCGCGCCCGTCAATTTTCTTTTGATTCTCGGCCTTACACTCTTGCCGAGAAAGCGCCTCTGGCGCCCTTAATCAAATCAAACACAAAACTTGTACTTTACTCTACTTCTCTGACGAGGAAAATAAATTATATTTTTCTAAGAAATTGGTCTCAATATCTTTCAACCAAGTCGAACACAATCCTTAGGCAATACGCCTATATATCTAAAAATATACGTATATATATATAAAAAGAGTCTCTGATTATATTGTATATTCCATGAATACTCTTTAAGTCGCCTATTCACGTTTTAAAGAATGACGGAAACATAAACACTTTCTTAAGATTTAATCATAAACCGACGACAGATTAATGGAACCGAAGGACTCTTTTCTAACCGGACGACGCGATGATTTTGAACGAGGGAATCTTAATGAGCCTTTTGTCTCGAAGGTCGCGATGTCGTCGTCGTCGGCTGCGGCACGTTTCTCCAGAGACGACAACGTCACCAGATGAAGTCAGAGACGGTGCCAACTCGCCGGGGACTCTCTCGGCGACTCTCTTGGTAATGCAGCGCTTAAGCGGAGATTCTCGTGAATATTTAACGAAGCACTAAGAGGATGAGCTTTCCCGAAGACGCAACCGGCCGCTACGGAAGCGAACACGGACAAAGTTGCCCGTTCTTTTTTTAATCCCCAGCGCTCGTTCCATGCCAAGCCGCAGCCAATTGCGGAATGGGCGCGGTCTTCTTCTCTTCAGAGTGCGAGAAATTGCGGCTTGTATTACGTGCGGTTTTTATCGTCACGGCTTATTACACTCGTTACGATTAAAAAACGTTTATTTCACATTGCCCAAAATATTCCACAACAATACTGCAATTAAATTTAACAGGATCATATTTAATTGAAACATATATCCTTTTATATTTACGTTTTATCATGTTTTTATTGTAATATCTGTTATTTCGTTAATTACATCGTCCGATGTCATTACACACTCAAAAGCGCGAAAACAGTTTCATCGTACAGCTATAAACAGTTAACTCGTACTGCTATAAAGACTGCACAAAACTACCTCTGTGAAGTTGACACCCCATTTTTCAAAAAATCAATTTTTTTTTAGAGTTCTGAATGCACCCCAAAGAGTTCTAGAGTTCTCTATAAAATTTATAAATAGTTCCGGCAAATTAGATAAAAAAATCCATTATTGAAAGTATGGGGTGCTAACTTCACAAAACGTTATTACAAAATTGACGATAACAGCTTAATCGTCGGAAATAATTAAAAATATCATTAGAATTATTTGTAGAACTCTTGAGGTGCTACCCAGAACTCCAACGAAAAAATTAAATTCCAAAAAATTTATTCTTATTGGAACTTAGAATATTTTCTTAATCGGTGATACGAAAAATAGCGAGAACTTTTTATATATTGGTCTGAGCGCTTCGAACCTTAATAATTATCGTTAGAACTCTTGAGGTGCTACCCGGAACTCCAATAAAATAATCAAAATTCCAAAAAAATTTTTTACTCTTCGGGACTTAAAAATTTCGATCGGTGATACAAAAATTGCGAGAACTTTTTATATATTGGTTTGAGCGCTTCAAACCTTAATAATTATCGTTAGAACTCTTGAGGTGCCACTCGGAACTCCAATAAAAT